CATTATAGGTTCAGTTAGAATATCACATCTGAAAGTAGTTCAACAACAGAAAAATTTGCCTTTTTTCATTGACGTAACACACATTTAATTACATCTTTGGTATTGTCCGGATAATGGAGGTTATTAATAACGACTGTAATATATCTGCACATGAGCAATGAGTTGTCAAGTCATAGTGGAATGTAAGTTAGTAATGGTGTTGCTCTTTGTATCAGTTAAACAGACGTAAATTAAGTAGTTTAAGATCAGTTTCAATGTCTTATTGCCATCCTTTCATGTTTTCTATAAAAATCTCTGTCAAATCGTGATTGAATATTCAGAAAGTTGACAGAAGCGCTTTATTCTTGACGTTTCCGGGTACTCGATTCCGATTCGGGTAAGAACATGCGGGTACTCGATTCCATTTTTTCCTACCCGTCCCAGCCCTACTTACTGATGTGATGGCTCATGCATTTCGACCTGCGAAAGGCAATTTGCTTTTAGTGCGCTCTCCCCCGTTTGGATAAAAACGCTTGAAATGACCTGGTTGTCGGCTTGAAATTAAATAGACAAATTATCTGGTTGTCCGCTTGAAATAACTTGGTTGTGCGCAAATCTGACACAGTAACCAATTGTTGGGATTCTCAGTTCCAATTGCATTTGACTTTCGTTAGTCATTAGGGGAAGGTTGGGAAGCCTAGTGGTTAAGGCGATCGCTTGTTACGTCGAAGATCCGGGTACGATTCCCCACATGGTGACAATGTGTGAAGTCCATTTCTGGTGTCACCCACCGTGACATTTCGTTGTGATATATATAATGCGCTGAACTCCATTCACTAGGTGGATGCTCACATCTATCATTACCCCGAATAACCCAACCCGCCAGTGAGGCGCTGGGATATTAGTGGCATGACTTATCTCACCGAGTACGCATTTTTCTGCTGGGTGAACATGCAAACTCATTTGCCTAAGGTGAGACACATGTATCATGTGTTTGGTTCTGGGGGCAGTACTGAAGTCCTAGAAACTCTCAGGTGTCAAGCTGCCAAACACGGTCACCCATCCAAGGAAGCTCCGCCCCCAACGTTGCTTAACTTCAACTGTTTTGTAACGTGAGCTCTATGCACAGGACCACACACCGTCACTATGATGATAAGCATATTTTGCCCCACAGGTGGTACCGTTCAAAATATACATGAGCAAGTTAACTATATACTGAGTCAAAAGAAACTTCACATTCTTTCTTCAGGGCACTATAAAAGAACAAGAGATGGTAAGATGGTTAAATTGTTATTATTTCATTGCTGAGATCTGTGTGATGTACTCGATACACTGACAGTGCCATAATCAGTTCCATTAGGCTACACCGCCGTTCCAAAACATGGGTATATACAGAATGTCAAGTCACAAGAATAAAAATGCGAAATTTCTCAGTTCAATATCGTGTATGGCCGCCCCGCGCATTCACCACTGCCAAACACCGTCTCCTCATCGACTGCCTGATGCTTGTGAACACGTGGTTGGGGATTCTGCGCCATTGCTCTTGCAAGGCAGCGCCAAGTTCCTGCAAATTCTGAGGTTGGTTCCTAAGACCACGAAGCCTTCTCCCAAGTGCATCCCAAACGTGCTCTATTGGATTAAGGTCAGGGGACCTCGATGGCCAGTCCATGACGTTGATTCCAGCGTTTTGAAGGAAATTTCGTGTCAACATCGCGGTATGCGGCCGAGCATTATCATGCTGGAACTGTAGACCTGGGCCATGAGCCGCCATGAAAGGAACGAGTTCAGGGGTGAGCACCTGGTCGCGGTAGCAGCAGCTGTGAGGTTTCCACGGATGACCAGAAGTCAGGAACGGTTGTTCCCACAGAAAGCACCCCACACCATGCAACTTCCGCCCCCGAATCTGTCGACTTCCTGTACACAACATTGGGCATACCGTTCACGACGTCGTCTCCAGACTCTATGCCTGCCGTCCGCGAATCTGAGGGTAAACCTGGATTCATCGCTAAAGACGACTCGATTCCAGTCTCTCTGGGTCCATCGGAGGTGACGTTGGGCCCACAGCAGACGTTGACGTTGATGAAACGGCGTCAATATTGGCCCACGATATGGACGTCGAGAATGGAGATTGGCAGCCCGCAACCGATTTCGAATGGTCTGTGAGGGACAGTCGACCTCTAAACATCTCAGCCCTGGTTCGTGTAGCCGGCAGAAATCTGTCACGTAGGTGACGTAGGACGATTGACGGTCTTCTGCTCGTGACGTCACACGTGGACGACCCGACCTTGGGCGATCAGAAGTGGTGCCAGTTTGTTGTAGACGACCTCGCAAGTCATACACAGTACGACGGCTGCATCCCATTGCTCTTGCGACGTCAATAACTGATCTTCCCGCTTGCAACATGCCAACGGCACGTTCACGTTGCACATTTGACAATCGTGGCATTTCAAGTACCGTTAGAACTGTGGTTTAAAAGTGTTTTTCAATTCTTGAGGCCAATGCAAACACGTGCATATGAAGAAAACTTCGATGCGAAGATCACGTGATCGACTGCGTGCAAAACCTGATTTGGCACTAACGTCATTTGCACGACGAATGGATGGGTTTGAGTGGGTTTTGCTAACGTTTTTCTAGAGTCGAAGATAGGGATCCCATTTCGGATACATAGATGTATCATCAGAGAAAATTATTCATTATTTTTCAAATTACATTTTGTGAAGTTTCTTTTTTGACTCAGTATATAAAAGTATGACGACGAACGAGACGAGTCATGGGTTTCCAATGGATGAGAGAACTAAAGACGATATGCATGTGGACAAATATGAAGAAGTGTTCTGCAAAGAATCTGAGGATCAGAGGGCCAAATGGAATTCACGTATTGAATACATCCTCTCCCTTGTTGGCTATTGTGTTGGATTCGGGAATTTGTGGAGGTTCCCGTACAGAAATGGCGGAGGTATCAGAAACATTCTCTTTCTGTAGTGATTAATCACATGTACAGTATGTGGCTATGATTACACATTGCCATTTAGAAAGAGGTCAAATGTAAATATGTTATATTTGGGATTACACTTTCTTAGTAAAGTACAAATTCTAGTACTTTTTGGGTTGACTCCCATCTGCGATTCAAACCCACACCCTCAGAGTCAGGCACCTAATCGCCAGCACACAAAGTCAGCCGCCTAACCCGGTCAGCCATCGCGACTTCCAGTATGTGGATCTGACATTGTTTGATCTGGCTGCGATACTGTTGATAGCACGTTATATATATTTCCTTAGTTTGTACATTTTTGCCGGGGTTGTGTGGTAGCCGGCTGGTTTGAGCGTTTGCTCGTCACACCAAACACCCAGGTTCTATTCCCAACAATGTTTGAAGCCCAGTTCTGCTGCCCCCTATATATGTTGCAGGTATACAGATGTGTTAAAAGCGGCGTAAACTATTCACTCAATCTATACCGAAATATGTATGTATATACGCTCAATGATATATATTTTAATTTGAATTTATTTGTTTTAAATTACTTTACGATGAGCGATTGAAACTGCCTTTGGATGTTACAAATTGCCTTCGAATATGTTCTGACACCCACGTTTGGTTGTTTGTTTAATCCACAGGCGCCTTCCTGCTGCCGTTCCTTCTCTGTATCTTAATCATTGGGTTCCCCGTGTTCTTCTTGGAAGCCTCGCTATCTCAGTTCTCCGGAAGGGCGACTCCTCGTGTGTGGAGTTTCTGTCCTATGTTCAAAGGTTGGTATGATGTGGATGGATACATTCATTCCAAATTATAGAAGGAAATCAGTTTAGACTTATCGAGCAAAGAGACCCGTGAAAATCCGGGTTAGAATATTGATCTTCAGTAACCCATGCTTGTCGTAAGAGGCGACTAACGGGATCGCGTGGTCAGGCTGGACTTGGTTGAGACATGTCATCGGTTCCTAGTTGTGTATATTGATGCTCATGTTGTCGATCACTGGATTGTTTGGCCCAGACTCGATTACTTACAGACCGCCGCCATATAGCTGGTATGTTGCTGAGTGCGGCGTAAAACTCAACTCACTAACTTACTCACTCGAGCAAGGACATTGCTGTCTGCAATCAAGTGAGTAATTTCACGTTCCGTACACCATGCATCTTTTTTATAAATGGAGTCTCCCGAAAAACTAAAACTACTCACTCCTAAATGAAAGTCTCAAATGAATGATTGCACCGGTAGATCGTTTGTACTGCCTCCAAGTAGGCAAACAAACGTTTCTAGAAACATGTAGTCAGATTCTTGTGACCATTTGTCATGGAAACAGGAGTTGGTGTCGGTGCCCTGGTGATGAACGTCATCTGCATCCCGTACTACAGCATCCTCTGGCCTGGCCCATCTACTACATGGTCAAGTCCTGCTCCAGCGTCCTGCCCTGGACAACTTGTGGCAACGACTGGAAACACCAACATGTGTGTGGAAGACGTGAGGAACGTCACCTACAGCAGCCACAACGGAACAAGCGCGGATGATAACATTACTGCTGGTGCCACACAGCGCTGGGAAAATGTCACACTAGCTCACACCGCGGCCGAGGAATTCATGCAGTACGATTATTCCTTGGGGGCCATAGTTTGAATTAGTCATTTCCCCGTTGTACTTTTAAATAACTTATTAAATCACAGTGACATGACAAAATACAAAATTGAACTTTGTAATTTCAATAAAGTTATAGTTGAGGTGTTCAGTAACAAGACCGTGTTGTTGCATCTGATCCCTGAAGGGAAACTCACAATCACTAATGCAAATGAGCTCAGCACACGCTTAAAATGCCCCTGACAAACCTCGCTGAGGAACAAACATACCACTTGTAGCATGTGTTAATCAACAAAACTCTCAAACGGTGATACCATGTACCGATTCAGTCCAGCTGTTTCCGTCGTTGTTTCAGGTACAATGTGCTGAGTATATCTCGAGGTTTGGAGGAGGTGGGCTCTGTCCAATGGCACATCGTGGCTTGTTTGTTCGCTTCATACGTCATTATATTTCTGTGCATGATTCGCGGGGTCAAGTCAGTGGGCAAGGTAAGACGTATTATATCAGTATTAATGAGTTAAATGGCCGAAGAGGGATATGTTCGATGTGGAAGTGGCATTGCCAATCAACCAGTGTGTATTCTAATTGCAATCACAGATATCTTATATACAACGCACATTGTTCGCCTGTTAGTTGTCAGAACAATGTCTTTCTGAAATACGGAAGGGTCCTCTATGTTAGAGCTCAGTCCACAATGCCTGTATGTTCGCGAGTCTAAACAAGAAAACAAGTACATCAGGAAACAACATGGTCACAATTCCCGAACACCCGATCCAATATAGTGAAAGTACTAAAAGTCAAGATGATAACAATAACTGCTTGTAGTTGGCATTGGCAATATGTAGCCATCTCACAGATGACATCCTTACCTTGTCAGCTTGCTGATAGGGTTAACTTCTTTGGTCATGTACACAAGGCGTCCTTAGTTCCAATCCCATCACGGGACTCGGAAATTTTATGGCCGCTGAAATACATCAGTGTGCATCAGTGTTTGTACTAACGTTAAGATGGTAACAACTGCTTGTTTTTCCAGGCAGTGTACGTGACGGCAATATTGCCGTACATACTCCTGATCATCATCTTCATCAGCACACTGATTCAACCGGGAGCAGGATCCGGTCTGCTGTACTACGTCACGCCGGACTTCCGGAAACTACAGGATGTGAAGGTGTGTTCAGCAGAAAGTACGGCGCAGACCGTTCTTGCAGGGTTCGGTGGTAGGGCTTTGTAGTAGAATCCCAGGGTTAGCGATATGTGGTGGAATCCCGGGGGTAGAGTCACGTGGGAGAATCCCGGGGTAACTTCTAGTGGTAGAATTCCGTGGGTAGAGTAAATTAAGTCAAGTGGTAGAATCCCAGAGGCAAACTCTTGTGTGAGAATCACGACTCTAGAGTCCCGTCAAGTGGTAGAATCCCAGGGGCAGAGTCTTGCTGGAGAATCCAATGGTAGAATTTGTTCGTAGGATCCGGGTGTAAAGCTTTACAGCAGGGTTATGTAATAGAAATAATGGGGTAGGTAATAGTTTTTTCAGTGGTTATTATTCCCATGCATTTGGTCAAGGTATATAGCATCATACAGACTTGACTTAAAGTAAACCATTTTCCAAAAAAATATAAGTGCTTGTAAGGGATTGTGTTCAAGACAACAAGAGAGTAACTCAAAAATGTCTCTGTGATCATTTAATAATGAACAAGAATTCTTGGTTAAATATTATGAGTTCGGTGTAATTATTATGATGGTAATTATGACAAGGTGTGGCTTGAGGCGTTTCTACAAGTGATATATTCTCTGGGACTAGGCTGGGGTACCATTGGCACCGCTTCCAGCTATAACAAGTTCAACGAGCCTTGTCACAAGTAAGTAATGGTCGAAGAGACATGAGGTGCCAGCCTAATCTTTCCTGGGATACCTCTTCATTCGGTATGCAAACATAGACCCGTGCTCATCCGGAATAGATCTTTAGCAACCCATGCTTGCCCTAAGAGGCGACTACGGGATCGGGTGGTCAGCCCGGCTGGCTGACTTGCGTAGATCGATGCTCATGATAATCCACGTCTAATATTTCCTCTCATACCCAAACATTCGCTTCACGTTAACAAGAACAACAGTGGTGCACCATGTCCATTCCCAAACCCTAATGTTTGCTATATTTCTAAGACCATAGGAGTAAAAGTGTCGCCAAATTGAGAGACCATTTTGCGAGACCGACTATTTTGAAGGCACGAGTTTAGGAATTGCACGAAATTGCGTGTCCGCCTTCAGTGTCACCTGGGTGTGATGAGTGGAGTGTATACCCAACTAACACACAACATTTTCCCAAAGATGTGGGAACGTTGTAGATTGGTAACGTCGTGACACAACGTTAGTATTACGTCATTTTATAACGTTATGTCACCAGGTGATACCAACGTTGCAAATTTACGCTGAGGAAACGTTTTGCTTTGGGCGCTTCTTATAACTGGGTGCCATGAGCGTCTTATGTAAAGCTTTCACTTTGAGATTCTTTCTTCAATATAAAGCTACAGCCTCAGAAAACACGACCAAAACAACATCCAAACCGTGAAATTGTCAGCTAGGTAGGCTGATCATAACGCATTCCTCGTCAGTGAAAGACGTCAACCCTCTGTGAAACTAATGAGTGTTCAGCCCAATTAACTAGAGACATATCCTTCAGTGAACAATTGTCGATGCTCAGATGCACCTTAGTTTATCTTATATCATGCTTCAAGACAAAGGGCTTTGATATTCCCAAGATGCCCCATTGTGGGATGTAAATATGACGTCATTTCCAACCGTGGCGTCACGTCACAATTAACTAGAAATATATGCTTTGAGTGAACAAGTGTCGATGCTCAGATGCACCTTAGTTTATCTTTGTATCATACTCAAGACAAAGAGGAGCTTGATAATCCTATGATGCCCCACATTGTGGGATGTACATATGACGTCATTCCAACCGTGGCGTCACGTCACAGTATCATTAAGTCAAGTAGGGATACTTTTCATGTGGATTTGTCATAACCCACTCTTAATTTCTCTTTGACGTTTATCATAAGATATGTTTATTCGGGGTCAAGGTGGCGAAGATAGAAGACAAATAATAATCCCCAGTGAAACTTGAACTAGCGTCCGCCAGAAGATTGCACACAAGATCAGTTGTATCTATTCTGATAGGGACGCCATCATAGTGAGCACGATATCTGAAGGTACAAGCATCTTTGCCGGCCTGGTGACCTTTGGCATCCTTGGAGTGATGTCCGAGAAAACTGGCGTCCATATTTCGGATGTAGTTTCCAGCGGTGAGTAAGGTGCTTCGTTTGCTTTGGGTATTTTTTATCTTACGCCCAGGTTTAAATCTAGTGAACACAAAACGGCGACATCCTAATGTCCACGAAAAACACCAGCTGCAGCTGTCTCACTACAGCTTAAATGTCAAGCTGTGAACAGCTGTATGTATGAGCCTTTTAAATACCTATGGGCGGCCACTATGGTCGTACGTTCAGAAAACATAGACTAGAACTTGGGAAATGGTCAAATGGTGATGACATTGTAAAGTGTAATCGCGTTAGATCAATTTGTAACTTTCAAAGCAATGGTCTATTGTTTTAAATAAAACTTGACTTTGTTCTTGTACAACCGTACATTGTTGCATGATAATATAGAAAATGAAATTCCGTTATCAGTCTCTGACATCCCATACTTATATTATATACACAGACATATTATATATGATGAACGTATATTACAACCATAAAGTCTTATGTACTCATTCAAGGATAAAAAGTAGACAAGGACAATAAGAGAAGAAAGTTTATACAATACTGTTATCCTATCGTGATGAAGGTCCAGGACTAGGTTTTGTAGCCTACCCAGAAGCTCTGGCGCAACTTCCGGTGCCTCAGTTGTGGTCCTTCCTGTTCTTCCTCATGCTTCTTGCTGTGGGCCTGGATGGTCAGGTGGGCGTCTCAATGTTGCCATATATGAGTACATTACGTGAGTATGCAACATTGATCGTGAACGTTGTGAGGACAGACAAGCCGTAGTCTCAACAGGCAAGTTTTGAATGCAGACGTTTATATAAACGAAAAGCTAAATTTTAAAATATTAAAAGAAATCACTGTTAAAGGAGACTCTTTGTCCTTCACCAGCATGTTTTAAGAATATCACTCCGTAATGATACTAGGTGTCCACACTCCTGACACGTCATAAATACATGCAAAGGATCAGTCAAGTAGTTACGTACATTAACACTCACTAATAGGTACAAAAAGAAAATTGTTTCAAAATGAAAGTGTCCTCCATATGTTTGCCATACGAGAACATCACATATTAAGAAGAAAGCGTTAGACAAGGATGTAATAGCCATCGTAAAGGAAGTACATGATTGGTAAGTTTAGTGACATTGGGTATAATTATTTGGCCGAACAAAGCGGACGCAGACACATTTCCACACAGTGCAAGGGTGTCATTATATTTTGTCTTGGGGCCATTTCCTCATCACAGGGAAGGCAGTGGGATGGCCTAGTGGTTAAAGCGTTCGCTCATCATGCTGAAGATCCGGGTTCGATTTCCCAAATGAGTACACTGTGAGATTGCTGGAATATTGTTGTGAAACGGCGTAAAACCATACTCACCACTCAGTCATGACAGCTGATTGGAGGACTACTAATGTACATTTTCTGCTTTCAGTTCATGAGCGTGGAGGTCATCACAACAGCCTTGCAGATATAAATACCTGAAAGCTCTGTCACGAAAGCGTTGGCTTGTAACCGCTGGTGTATGTGTGATGTGCTTTCTTGCAGGAATCTTACTCTGCACGCAGGTAAGATTTACGTTTGGCCCTCGGCTTATGGCTTTGGACATGGTACCGGTGCGTTGAAGCTCCACGTGGAACAAATTCTATGACCTAGTTATGATGCCCTCAAAGGACTGGTTGGTTGGTTGGTTGGCCGGCTGGTTTAACGCCGCACACAGAAATATTCCAGCTGTACGGTGGCGGTCTGTAATTAATAGAGTCTCTGGACCAGACAATCCAGTGATCAACAGCATGAACATCGATCTACGCAATGGGGATACAATGACATATGTCAACCAAGTCAGCGAGCCTGACCACCCGATTCCGTTAGTCGCCTCTCACGACAAATATGGGTTACTGATGACCAATTCTAACCCGGATCTTCACGGGGCAGGATGCGTGGATATTCATGACCATCATCATCATCACCGTCGCCATCGCCGTTGCTAGTTGTTGTTTATTGTCGTCAAATCGTTGTTGTTGTTGTTGTTGTTATTGTTGTTGTTGTTGTTGTTGTTGTTGTTAGGATTTTTATTGCGGTTTCAGGGCGGCCCATACATCCTTCAGCTCCTGGACTGGTATATAAGTGCTTTATCAGCCTTTCTGTTCTGCACGCACACCGAAATGTGTTACCGCGGTCTATATATCTATGGTGAGCCATATTCCAAATTATTACCACATGAGTGCCTATTTCTCTGGAGCATTACTATCTCTGATGCAGTTAGCACAAAATATAAATAACAGTAGTTAGTTTATCCTACGATATGTATTTCCGCTGACTAAGGAGATATACTGAAGGGGAAATAAAGGATCACATGTGAAAGGACAAGTGTTCCTTGTTTTTCCAGGTTTCTTCACAAGCTTTGTATCGCATAGCTTGTGAAGAACCTGAACAAATAAGGAGCACTTGTGCTTTCATGTGATCGCTTATTTTTTCCCCTCAGTATATATTTTTTTTACATTTTCTTCTGTTTCTATTTCTTGTGGTAAATATAGCAACGTTTTCGTGTTGAACAGCTGGACATGCCTTTAGGTCAGCACGATATCTATTTGTAATTTTATATGAAGCTGAACAAATCATACCTGGTTTGCTGTTAACCTTTGTGTATGTGCACTATATGATGTCATACATGTATTCCAGGTGTAAAGCAGATGAGCAAGGATGTTGAGATGATGATTGGAAAACCACTTCCGATCGTCGTAAAGATCTTTTGGGCTTTCGTCATACCAGCAGTGCTCCTTAAGCGATCGAAGGTTGTTAATAGGGATTGGAAATCAATTTCTTACCTTTGCTTATAGCACGAACATCAGGGGCTAATTGTGGTCAATTTTGATCTATATTTTAAACATAAAAAATGATAATTATTTTAGGTATAAAACTTATTTGCCCAATTGTCCTTCTTCAGCTGATTCCTTTCATGAGGATGTAAAACAAAGTATGGATTTCCCTGAGGTTTTCAGAATGCAACAAACTTCATTCATGTTACATGAAGCTTATGATGGATATTTCAGACTGCCTTCATCCTGACACTCCTTCAGTACCAACCGCCGACCTACGGCAAGTACACCTTCCCCGGCTACGCCAGCATCATCGGCTGGTTCATCGCCTCTGTGTCGATCATCCCATTGCCAGTTTATATGATTCTGGCTGTGAAGAAGCATATGGCGTCACATACGTTCAGACAGGTTAGTGTTAAGTTCGTCTTATGATAGCACTGTAGGACACCATTATTCCATTGCCAGTTTATATGATTCTGGCTGTGAAGAAGCATATGGCGACACATACGTTCAGAGAGGTTAGTGTTAAGTCTTATGATAGCACTGTAGAACACCATTATTTTCCATTGACAGTTTATATAATTCTGGCTGTGAAGAAGCATATGGCGACACATACGTTCAGACAGGTTAGTGTTAAGTCTTATGATAGCACTGTAGAACCCCATTATTTTCCATTGACAGTTTATATAATTCTGGCTGTGAAGAAGCATATGGCGACACATACGTTCAGAGAGGTTAGTGTTAAGTCTTATGATAGCACTGTAGAACACCATTATTTTCCATTGACAGTTTATATGATTCTGGCTGTGAAGAAGCATATGGCGTCACATACGTTCAGACAGGTTAGTGTTAAGTCTTATGATAGCACTGTAGAACACCATTATTTTCCATTGACAGTTTATATGATTCTGGCTGTGAAGAAGCATATGGCGTCACATACGTTTAGACAGGTTAGTGTTAAGTCTTATGATAGCACTGTAGGACACCATTATTTTCCATTGCCAGTTTATATGATTCTGGCTGTGAAGAAGCATATGGCATCACACACGTTCAGACAGGCTAGTGTTAAGTCTTATGATAGCACTATAGGAGACCATTATTCCATTGCCAGTTTATATAATTCTGGCTGTGAAGATGCATATGGCCTCCCACACGGTCAGAGAGGTAGGTGTTAAGTCTTATGATAGCACTGTAGGACACCATTATTCCATTGCCAGTTTATATAATTCTGGCTGTGAAGATGCATATGGCCTCCCACACGGTCAGAGAGGTTAGTGATAAGTCTTATGATAACACTGTAGAACACCATTATTCCATTGCCAGTTTATATGATTCTGGCTGTGAAGATGCATATGACCTCCCACACGGTCAGAGAGGTTAGTGTTAAGTGTTATGATAACACTGTAGGACACCATTATTCAATTGCCAGTTTATATGATTCTGGCTGTGAAGAAGCATATGGCCTCCCACACGGTCAGAGAGGTTAGTGTTAAGTTCGTCTTGTGAAGCACTACTGGACAACAACTGCGACTTAACAAACGATTCAAATGTGAGAACAATTCAAAGGAAGTCTGCGCCGATTCGCATAAGATCGGTTAAGAATATGCAAATATTTGTTGTTGGTTTCTTTTGTTTTTCTTGTTTATTTTTTTTCCCTTATCTGTTTTTTGTTGTTGTTGTTTTTCTGGGCTTTTAGGGAAGTTGTGATTTGTGTTTGCGCACATGGGCATCTCTGTCAATCAGTAATCTCCCAGTGATGTAGCATGTCGTACAGCAAGTGATTTCGTAAACAAACCAGTGATTGATGGCATAAGCAAAGTCGATTCGAATCGACTCTCCTTTCAGACATGTGAGATCCGATGAATGAATGAATCTACAGATGATGTCAAGCCAGACTGACATATTGAAGGTATTCCTGACACCATAAGTATAACTTTTGTGTTAATGTTTCAGAGTATCCAAATGGCTTCGCCCTGAGGATGTGGCGTCATTCTGATCCCCTGTGTTAGAAGTACCGAGACAACCTCGTACATACACAGTATTCCTTGAAGGACCATATGACAAGTGTGTTTACAAAGTAACATGTCAGGTGATCAAAAGCTCGTAATATCTTGGCATCATAACACATTACCTACCTCCGTCATCTGCCACCAGTTATTAGATCAATCTTCATTGTAGCCCTTTGTATGTTTACGGTATAATGTTCCTTTCGCTAGACAGGGAGTTGTTAGTCATTGATTCCGGGACAGGCATAACATGTGATCAACATTATGAACAACGACCTTCGTCTGAGTATACCGCCCATGTCGAAGAAGATATCTGTATATTTCAGTGATAATTGACATTAAATTTGCAATCAATCTTTGAACTTGTATTACGTTTGTTTTAGGCGGTGTTTTAATTAAGCTTGGGATCCTATTTAACTGTCGTCATTAGCTTTGTGTTGTTAGGATGCTGGTTATCCTCAATAAACAGAGTGAGTGTATGTCTATGTTAAAATATGGGCGATCTAGTGGAAGAAGCACATGTTCTGAGTGCTTGTGAAACCATGGTGTACCATGATCAGCCGATTGATACAGTAACGTAGATTGTGGTTGGCTCTTGAATTTTTTGTTTTGTTTGTAAGTGGCCCGAATGAAGTAGGGATCTTTGACCATTAGGTTATGGTATAACATAGTCTTGATCCATTACGTTATTCTGATGTTGAATTAAACGCTCCTTATATAACGTTTACAATGTAGGACTTCACCCACCTGAAATGCAAATATAGAATCTGTTACATATTAGATTCACACACAAAGATTTGACAAACGAGATCAACTTTCAAACACCCAGCTTACTCTTCATATTGAGCACTATTCCTGCAGCTCGAAACTTTGTTGTTTACATATCACAAGTTTTGAGGTACAGTCGAGTCAGATCTCTCTACGGCTCACTAGTTGTTTGAACAATCTTACTGCGATCAGGTCATTAGTTAAGTTTTCTAAACGATTCATGGTAGCTGTACCGGGGCAATGACAAAAATTATATCGATGCAATGCCCTATTTTTCCTGTTTTAAGTTTGCGTGATTGCTCTGTCAGATGAATTATTAACTAGCCATGACTTTTGTTAAGGACGGGAGCATGATCTGAAGCGTACAATCAGCTCAACTCTGCCTTTGAAAACGATGCTTCGAATATGGTAAGGGTTCTGTCTTATATATTTACATCGCTGCTTGACAATTAGCAGAACTGTTCTGTCAGATGAACTGTTAACTAGCCCTGGCTTTGTGCAATCGATGAAGCGGGAAACTCTCACCCCGTGTTATGGTCAATTGATAATGATTTGTAAACAAATACACATGATAGAATCTGAAGCGTACAGTCAACTCACCTCTACCTTTGAAACTGATGCTTCGAATATGGAAAGCGTTCTGTCTCATCTATTTTCATCGCTGCTTGACAGTTAACGCCGTATGGGTGTTAATTCACGATAGTAACTTGAGTCTTGTCTGAGATGAACACAGCTGCCAACTAAGAATAAGCGTTGCACATGCCAGCCTTCAATAACTGATGGATGATCTATATAAGTATGGTTTCTGTGCATTTTCTTTGTGCTAAATCAATCTCACCATCAGATCTAAGTGCTCGTTACTGTTACACAAA